AGGAATCGAATGAGCATAGTTTGAGAGTCGAAAAAAATGTGCTTTTTTTGAAAAACTCATTTTTTTCTAAACAACTGTAGGAAAAGGCGTTGAAAATGGCTTTTTCGATCTATTAAAGGCTTTCAAACCGCTGTACTTTCGCCAAACTTACATAAGCATGTTCCATTTTTGACGCTCTGTCTAGTGATGTCAAAATCAGACTAATAAAAGTTGAACTTTCTTTGGAAAACCTCTCTTTTTCTAACGTACTAGAAGGAAAAAGCTGTAAATAGCTATTTTCGGCCTACTTCAGGCTCTTGTGACTTTGTTTAAGAGCATATTGACTTTTTCTTTAATTTCTCCACGCAGCTAGTACTGGGTAGGGTCGTTAGTCGCAAGTTCAGGTTCCTGCGTTTATCCTTCTCACCGCGCAGAGGTCGCCCTAACAGAGAAGGTAAAGTTTCTTTTTTGGTTTTAATATTTTTTTTTATTTTTATTTTTTGTTTCTTTGCATTATTTAGCACAACTAACTATACCAACAACTTTGCGGCTAGTTGCACTTTCTAATGCAAAGGTTTTTTGAGTTTATTTAAAAAAAGAAAAACAGAAAGCTTAAAAGTTTTTTTGATCTATTTTTTAGTTTTTTTCAGTGCTTTTGAGCCCACTGATATTTTCTTGCGTAGGTGCTCAAGCTACACAAGAGAGAATGCTACGATTGGCACTATTCTGAGCAAAGTGTTTCCCGTAGCAACATTTACTCAAACGGTTTTCAAGTCTTCCGCACTTGTAGTCGAAAACTCCAAAAACTACTAAGTGCCCTCGTCTCATATCGTTCTCCTAATCGTCGGCTAAGCTATATAAAGTGTCTTGATCATCCGAGGAGTCGTCCGAATAATTGTTGGCATCTTCAAATAGTTGCAGGAATTTAGATGTTCGAGTATTAAGAAATTTTTCTTTGTCATAGCGAGCTATTCCGAGATACCACGCTATGGACGCAATATGACTGCAACATCCTATAGTACGTGATCCTGCTGGACATTGACAGCAAGCTTCCGTTATAGTTTCATCATCATATTTAATTAGAACATTATAGTTTTTTCTGTTAGAGTGTTTGCTTTGTATGTTGGCTCTCAATAGGTGTTCTTCTTGTTTACAAATATGTATATCATATTGACCATTCGGATCGACATGCTCAAGGGCATAGGATTTTGCTTGTTTTAGCTGGAAAACACCCAGCGTAAACTCTTTTAACTTTTCCTCTGTTAGCATTGGAAAGTCATTCGTTGCATTCGTAGCGTCTAGTTTGATCCAGTTTTTCGACTTCAACGCATCTTTGTCTTCCAACTTTTTCTCAAGTTTGTTCTTTCGGTCACGTCTTTCAATAAAGGCCTTGACCAAAGCATTGTCGTTTGATATATCGGTCACAAAAATGGGCCTATATCTGTTGATTATTGCACACACTATACACAAGTATCCATGGACAAACATCAACGAACTATTTTGGACCACATGGTCAAAGAATTTGAATGTTTTTATCCTACCATTGACGGACTCAACAATCCATCTTAGAGCCGTCACAAAACGATTCATATTTGCTTCAATGGCTGTATACTTTTTCTTGTTTTTTGGTAAAAAGGAAGGCATGAAAGTTTGGTAGCCGAAGGAGTTTACGAGATCTAAATAACCTCGAAAACCCCTGTCGACTACCATGATATCACCTTCCTTTAGCCAGTCACGAATCTCCTCCTTATTGTTCAAAAGTATATGTTTGGTTATACTCGCGTCATTGTTGTAATAATCGGCCAGATACGGGCCAATCGGTGCTATTATATAGCCATCAGTGGTGACAATCATCATAGGCTTCAGCAGTGGTCTGTTTTTATGAAGGCTGAATAGACGTCTTTGTAGAATGTTTGCGCTTGACTTTTGGCAATAGATATAGGTTCCATCGAGAACAACGATTGCTACCTTTTTGCCATTAGCTAGTAACTGTGTTGCTAAAGGTCGAGTGTGCTCTTGAATGACAGCATCGCGCGATATGTGTTGAAAGCCAAGGTTGTTAGGCACAAACGATTCCAATAGTGCATTATACGCACTTTCGTTGATATGGCCAACTAGCCGTCGTTAGAAAACGAGAAAAGTGTTCTCAGAACACGGTTACTTACTCCAAGTCGGAGCTTCGTAAGAAGACAACCGACTGCCATCTCAACCGACCTATTTTTGGTGTCGCGCATGTTAACATAACCACACAAATTCTTGAATTGATCTTTTTGTATATCAATTAAGGTCATATAGTCTTCGTCTGACTGTCGCAATGGATCGTCGAATGTAAGAGGTGGCAGCTCATGTGTTGTATTTAGTGTGACGCGTTTCAATGTGCACTGTAGTTCTTCTATTAGTGATGAAATAGTATCTGGGCTGGCACTAAAGTTATTGTCGCCATAATTCTGTCTGATAGCCTGGATTGCGTTACCATTAAGGCTATCATTTTCAGTATGTCGCGGACACGATCGTGATCCTTCCCTAAAATAGATCGAATGCATCAGGAAGGTACTGATGCGCACTTGATCGTTTAGCGTAGTAGATTGTTTTTTGTTAAAACTTTGTCCACAGACAGAGCAATTTCGTTTACAAAATGTTGGAAATACAATGGGCAATGTAATTTTATTGTCAGTTAATAAGTCGCATTGCAGATTGACCGTTTTCTTTGTGGTCAACATTATTTCTGTTTGTGTATCCTGTGTTGTATCTTCGGTCTCCATTGTTTCAGTAGTAGGATTGCTAATTGTATTGGAGAGTTCGCTAATATTTCTTCTTTGTCTGGTATCGCAGGTGTGGCAAAGTACTGTATCCTCAGAGAGGTTTTGTCCATATAATTTTCGATATAAATCATTTACATAATCGAACATTTTCAAATTATTTTTTAGCGCATGTTTTCTTTCATTGCGTAAATCTTTTTCGCACAAGCCACAGTAAGTAGTGTTAAAAGGCATTTTTAGTATATAGTTCGTTTAGTTTTGTGGTAGTAGCGCTCAACCAAAAATTTAGTTTGCGAAAATGAAAAAATTTGAATTTGTGGTACCCGTTTTAACAGTTTTCCTATATGAGTCAAAACAATCACATTTTTCTCAATACTCAAACCGTGCTCATTAGATTCGCCGTCAAAAATAGAACATGCTTATGTAAGTTTGGCGGAAGTACAGCGCTTTGAAAGCCTTTAATAGATCGAAAAAGCCATTTTCAACGCCTTTTCCTACAGTTGTTTAGAAAAAAATGAGTTTTTCAAAAAAAGCACATTTTTTTCGACTCTCAAACTATGCTCATTCGATTCCTCGTCAAAAACTGAATACGTCCATGTAGGTTTGGTCGTGTCACACGCAATCCTCAGAAGGACAGTGAGAAAACAATTTTTGAAAAACCCGTTTTTTGGCGATTTTTTTGAGTTTTCTTACCTTTTCGACCTGAAGAATCGTTTTTTCCAAACTTTTCGACACAGATTCTGAAAGCTGAAATCGCGGCCAGTAAGATCTTGTGTGTTTCGAGGTTTGTTGTTGCTTGCCCGAGCATTTAATCTAGAAAAAACGAAGGTGAGTCATTTTGGCCACTTTTCGATAGATGGCGGTTTTCTCGGTCAAGGACAAGTTTTTCCCAGATTTTGACCTCATATTCGTTATTAGCGTTAAATTCTGCGTCTAGTGATGTGTCACGTAACCACTTTCAAGAAAAAAAAATTTTCGATGTTGGTTCACGCTGTGGAGGTGTAATGGTGTTCAGTAGTTTGACGTATAATGCTAGATGATTGATATTTTTATCAAACGGAATAACAGAACGACCATGGTATGAATGAATAGAAACTTGGTGACGATCGTATTCAATCCTAGCACCTGTTTGAATGAACCAGTTTGCACCCAGAATAAAATCGAAATTTAATTTTTTAACTACTATAGCCGTGGTAGGTGTCAGAATGTCGTTGTCGCGAATTGTGAGGTTGATCTCGCCTATTATGTTTAGAGGAGAAGAGCTGTCAGCAAGGTGTGCGATAATGGTTGATGGGAGTAACGGAGAGTGTCGAATTCTTGTAAGTGCAGCTTGCTTAATAAATGAATGTGTAGCTCCTGAATCGATAAGAGCCCGGGTTGCACGATTATTTACGAAAATGTTAATAAATATGAGAGATGGATTATGATCAGATATATTTTGAAGACTATCATGCGTACAGTTTCGAGTGAAATGCCCGTAAGTGGCACAATAGTTATAAGATGAAGATTTATGTGGATGGGAAGTACGGGATGTGAATGATGGGTTTCGTTGTGTATTAGGAGTATCACCATCGCGATCTCCCATTATCTTTTTAAACAGCCTCGAGCATAATGGCCTGGTTCGCCACAACGATAACAATTGTTCGAACGATTTCTTGTGCTGGAGGGCTATGGTTGTGAAGTTGAAAGATACGATGAATAATAAGGTAGCGAATAATTTTGAGTTGAATATTGCCGCGGACGATATGATGAGGCAGATGATTGTGATGCCGATGCGAATGGGCGAGTTGACGATTGCGAACTGAGTGGTAGAGTATCTGATGTAGCTGGCGGGAATGTACGTGAATCGATAAGTTGTTGATCTTCTTCATAACGTTGGACCAATTCAAGTAATTTTTGAGGTGTGATAATTTCTAAACCACTAATTTTGTCTAACAATGATATTTTTATGCCATTTTTTATAAGATCCAATTGTTGTTCAACTGACATAGTGCGATCGTATCTATAAAATAATTTTTTCATATCAGTATAATAGTGAATAAAATTTTCTTCCATTGTTTGTTTTCGTGTTAATAGCTGTTGAAAAGTAGATGCACGTGTAGGTTCCGGTGTTGGTGGGTAATTAGTTCTACGGCTTGTTGAAATTCGTCCCATGTTTTCAAAGATGTGTGTTGTGTAAGGTACCATTTAAGAGCTTCACTTGTAAGAAACTGAGGGGCCCATCTCCGTTTTGCGTCATCATCAATATCCAAGGCGATAAACTTAAGAGTTAATGATCGAAGTCAATCATCAACATTTTCGGTTTTGTTACCCGAAAACTGTGGAAAATCTTTGACAATAGCATCTAATAACAATTCTTCCGACATTTTGTTTGTACCCGTTCTGTTGTTTATA